TTCTTCCAACTGAATATAATATATACCTTGCCACTTTGCTCCCCATTAGGTGATTCAAGGAGAATATATCTAGAAAACTTGAATTAAACAAAAGCCACCGCAGCACATTTCTTTGTTAATTAATAACATCAAGTAATCCTTAACACGTGATATTCATGTCCCTTGCCATTCCAATTACTGAGATATGCTGGAGAGCTAGAATAGCTAAACATTTACTTTGTGTGGATTAATTGAACTACTTGTGTTTTTAGGGTGAAGAAATTTTGTTGTATTACAGGATATCTTATTTTTTAAAAAATGATATATCAAAAAGTTTTACATCCAATGTTGACGTATCATTCCAACTCAAACGATAACACTTTAGCATGAGAGGCAGATGTTTCTAATGTGTCATTTTTTTAGAGGCTTTGGATTTAAAGTTTAACATCCTTTAGCATAACTTGGAACTTTGTTATTCCTTCCTTTCTCTTTCCTATATTCTCATTTTTAACTTTTTTTCGACTTTTTCATGGTTTAGCTTTATTAATTAATTGAGCAAAGCAAAGATGCTATTATTATTCACTTCTCTTTCATGCAGGCTATAAAACCAGGAATCATGAACATCAAATTAAAGCCGCTAAAGAAAAAATTATTTATCAATTCAGCAGAGTGAAAAAAGAGGAGTGATGACAAAGGAAATAAATTTGGCTTGCATTAGGAGTGATCTAGAAAATTTTGAGGTAATGAAGGTGTCTTATGAATTGGCCTTGAGAAATGAGTGCGAAAGCATTAAAACACTGTATCAAACCAAACGTTGTGCTTTATTCCATACCATCACTCCTTGCGAAGATACCGTTTTCCACATTGCAGCATACTTGGGGAGCACTGAACTGCTCTACGTCCTCTTCGAAATGGTTCCGATGTCTAGAACATGGGAGGTGTTGACGATGAAGAACATGCATGGCAACACCCTTCTCCATGAGGCAGCCACCAATGACAAAGTTGATGCAGCAAAATTCTTGATTGAGAAAGCACATGGAGAACGAGTGACGATGCTGATGGAACAAAATCAGTTAGGGGAAACGCCGCTATACAGAGCTGCGGCGTTTGGTACTAAAGAAATAGTGGAGTACTTGGCAAATGAGGTGGAGAAGGAAGAGGGAGCTCTGCAAACTAACTTCACAAGAAGCTCTGATAATCTCTCCATTCTTCATATTGCTATCATGAATGAACAATTCGGTATGTACTGCTCATTCCGTTGATTTTAAATTAAAGCACTAATTTAGGAAAGAGGGTTGGTGTTTTGCATTTTGTACTGCACGCAACTTAAACCCACTAATTAAGGGATTGTAGTTTGGGCCATTTGAACTGCAAAACACTTTTCCTTTAGGAAATGCATGAGAATTCTTTATTAAATGCAGAGACAGCGAGGTGGTTACTAGATAAAGATCCAGATCTGGCAATGAAGGAGAATTATGAGAAGACATGTCTTCATGTTCTAGCAACCATGTCGACTGCTTTCAAAAGTTCTTCTGGAAAAATGTCTGGATTTAAGGAGATTATGTATGGAAGTAAGTTCATTGCAAACTACAATCACAAGGGCAAAAAAGAAAAAAAGAAAAAAGAAAACTTTAATTTTTAGTACCATTGATTTGATTTGGTGTTTTTGTTTTCAGTGATTCCAGGTGACTTAGTCCACAGAGATAAAACTGATCAGTATGTACCAAGTCAGTCCTGCGAGGATATGAAAGACCATCAACCAAAGACAAGTAATATAAATATGTATTAATTTCGAGCATTCATGCCACTTGTAAAGTGATGAGTTGTAGCTATACTTGAATCTGAGAATTTTCCTTTATGCAGGTTTAAGCATGCACTGTTGTTGTTTTTTTATTCATTTTTGGATTCGTTTTTGGATGTTTCTTGAAGGTATGCACCCTAATAATTTCTTTATTTACCTTATATCCATGTTTGGTTTGAGGGGAGGAACCAAGGGAAGTGAAGCAAAAGTATTAACCTCCACTACTTTCTGTTTCCCTTAAACTAAAGATACCATTACTATCAGTGTTATTCATGCCGCTTAGATATAATGTCAATGAAAACCGCATTTTTTTTCTTTTTTTGCAGTGTGATAATATCATTAATGAATTTTTTTCTCTGTAGGAATTCATCAAAGATACTTTAATTACTTTAGCACACCCAAATTAAAAATCCAAAACTCCTTTAAGATTTTAATATAAATTTCTAAATAAAATTTATTTCTTTTAGAATGGGATTATATTAAAGAAATAAGGAAAACGAAGAGGAAGCATGAGTTGGCAGGTAAATTGGCTGATTCGCTGGTAAAGAATGATTCTTCCTCGTGGCGTAAGCGCCATGAGCACAACACCAATATTTGCCTTCCAAGAGAGAAAGAAACAGTTGGCGGAAAAGAGAGTGAGGCGTCGTCCCAAACCGAAGGTATTGCCACTACCATGGTGCCACAGTTAGAAACTCCGTTGATTATTGCCGCCAGCACAGGGATTTTGGAGATCGTGAAGAAGATTCACAAAGAGTATCCTCAAGCGCTAGAGCACGTGAACGAGAATGGACAGAATATTCTACACGTAGCCATTCTACATCGTCAATACGATGTCTTTGAACATGTCAAGAACGAGAGTGAGAAGGATAGAGGAGTGGTGAAAAGGAGGCTGGTTTTAGGAATCGACAACGACGGTGACACCATTCTGCACAAAGCCGCTCGTAGCGAATACTACAGCGGAGGAACCAAATCAACAGCGGCTCTCAAATTGCAAGAGGAGCTGAAATGGTTCCAAGTCAGCCTCTATCAATTGCTTCTTTAAATTAATTCATTAATTAACTTTTAACAATTGAGTTATATATTTCTTCCAAAGAATTGTGAATTGTTGTTGTGATTTTTTAGAAAGTGGAAAAGATGGTTCCTGCTCATTACACAATCCACCGCAACAAGAAAAATAAGACCGCAAAGGAGCTGTTCAAAGACCAGCACAAAGATCAACTCAAAGACGCACAAGAACCTGTCAGTCCTGCTCCGCCGTGGCAGTCCTAGTGGCCACGGTTGTCTTCGCTGCCGCCTTCACCGCCCCAGGTGGTTTCAATGGTAATTAACTAAACTTCTGTTTTTCTTCTCATTACGAAAAAAAATTCTAATTTGTCATTTACAAGCTGACATATCAAACTTATATAAATATTTTTGTTCTTTTAAATGTTTGCAAGATTTTGGGAGTCCAATCTTTGAAGAGAAGCCTCTATACTCTTTTTTCACCGTGATGGACGTCGCTGGACTGGCAAGCTCATTGACGTCAGTGGTGATCTTCCTTTCTGTGCTCACATCGTCGATCAGGAAGATTTTCAAAGTACCATACCCCGAAAACTGTCGTTTGGCTTCACCTTTCTGTTCTTCGCCATTGCAAACACCGTGCTTTCCTTCACAGCCGCCGTTATCCTCACCGTTCATTTGAAAAAGGCATGGACTACGTCTCTGACCTACGCTGCTGCATTCCTTCCAGTCAGCGTCTATGCGATTGTGCAGTTCGGTTTGTACATCGAATTTTTGAAGAGTGCTGTCAACAGTATTTATGAGTTTGTGAAGAAGTTTCTTCCAGGTTGAGGTTTCTTTTTTCTTATATATCTGAAAATTATCTGCATAATTAATGCTATGCACATATTCGTTTTTGCAGTACTATTGGTGAATAATGTATTTGATTAAGGTTTGTGTTTATTGGTTTTTTGAAAATACGTGCCATGTAATGGAGACTGTCGAAGAAGTTTGAGTGGTAGAAACTGAAGAAAAGAGAAAATATGAAGAAATGAATTGTTTTCTTGATTGATATTGCATGTATAACAGTCTATATATAGACATATGTATATGTAATGAGAATATTCTGAGTGTATAGAATATTTATAATAAATATGCTGTGTGAATGAGATCTGAATTGGTATATTTGAACACCCCCTTGAACTCAAGGTAGTTGGGAGAAGACCAACTTAAGTTTGTCAAGAAGAGGGTGGAAATGTCTTGGAATATTAGTTTTACTGAAAAGATCAGCTAGCTGATCAGTAGAGTCAATGAAGATCAAATGAACTATTCCTCACATAATATGATATTGGATAAAGTGATAATCTACCTCAATATGATTTTTGCATTCATGGAAAAC